TAGTGGTAAATCCAGATTATTGCATATAAAAAATAGATGAATACGCATGATTTATTTATCATTTTAATAGTTTTACCTTCGTAATGCCGACTCCGTTCCTTTGTCCCAATAAACAAATTATACCGGTACTTCATATTTCTTCTCCCCATTCCTCAATCTTCTTGTGATTGCAGTTGTTACATTTATTTGTTTAGTTCAGTCAAAATGTAATGGTTATGGTCAGTACTCTGAATGATCCCTCCTCAAGTGATACTGTGTTTTCTGTTTTCCATGTTCCAGGGAAGACCAGCAAGCCTCTCACACTTATTATGCCAAATTAGGGCATACATTTGATATTCTTTACTAATGAATTTTCAGGGAAGTCGGAAAGCTTCATGTAGCAACTTTGTATGTTGTAAAGGTTTGGTAACAAATGCTGCAGCTTGAACATGGCGGCCATTGTCTTGTTTGATCATGGACAAAGTTTACTGCTTTACTTGCGTACGTCCCTTGTAACCAGGGGCAAAGGGCTAGCCCCCCGGGGGGGGGGAGAATGATGAAGGGATCAACTTCATTGTGCATGATCTCTATAACAACCTGTAAATGTTGAGGTAAAATAGATAACACTTAAACATCGATAGAAAGTTAAATTATATGAAATACGATCCTAAATTTTTGTCCCGACTACAATAGAAAGGTAGTATAATCAGAAAGACGAGACAAACTTTGTCCGGCAGACAGCGAACTGAGCGAATGAAATACCGGTAAAGTAAACAAGCGAAACATGCAATGCGTACAAACTTGATATCCAATATGTATATATTTTTTTGTTATCATGCGATCTGAAATAACGAAAACATATACAATAATCCCCCCCCCCCCCCGCTTATTGCAATCTAAAATAACGAAAACATGTATACAATTATCCCACCCCCCTTATTTGCACCATGTCATTTATAAAATAAAAAAATATTAAACAATATACAACAGATACCGTCAGTGTGGAGGGTGCAAATGAGCTGCGGCGAGGAGGAATTGATGGAATCGGTTGTTTTCGGCCGGGTATGCCATCATAAATATGGCCCTGGCCAAATATCTGAGGAAGTGATAACTCCTCCTGCCGAAGCGGGGCACTTTGGCTTTGGCCTCCCTCCATTTACGCTCGATCGTATTTGTGTGAGCTTTACTTTTGGGGTCAACAAAATTGTATGAATGATTCACGGTTAAATGTTGATAGCCCTCTTTTTCTAAGCAGTTGTATGCCTTCCAACAATCACTAATGACCGTTGTCCCTGGGTGGATACGCTCCTTAATGACGTTAAGCAAAGTGAGAAGAGTCATGGGTCTCCACGGGTACGAGAAAAAAATTCCCACTCTTGCGGCATACTCCTCCAAAAACCCATTGACCTTCTATTACACGACCTACGTTATATTTCCGTTTACCAAATTTAGAGTCATCAATCTCGAGAATTTTCCCTGACCCACCTATTTTGTCAGATTGATTCTCAAAACACCAATAAATTAGAACCTCCCGACAGAAGCTCGCCCAATCGCAAATAGTCTTGTTTGGGAAATTGAAATTGCTTCATGCAGATTCGTAAGAAAACCTCTCTCGCAGATACAAATTAACAAATTTTAAATTAGTTTCAAAATCGAGCTTACTATTATCAAACCAGGTGTTCTTAAAAAGTGATTTGAAATTGCCTCTAACTTTTCGATTATTATTATTTATTTATTTTATTTATTTTAATTTTTTTGTCGCACCGAATTGAATATATATTTTGGTCTAGCCAGCATTCATTTTCACATTTGGGGCACTTTAGTGACCCCAGGAGGAGACCATGTGACCGGCTAAGATCGAGCAAGAGGGTGGCTTCTCCTCCATAATTTTGCTAAAATTGCCCGTACCTACCATAAAATCTATATTTAATAACACTGTATTTGTTAATTGTGATAAGAGCTACAAATTATATGTTTATAAAATGTCAGATTCATTAAATATCATCATTTAAAAAAATATTTAAAGTATTATAAAAACTTACCCTGTGTCACACTGAGAACAAAAACTGCTGGATGAAGCTGCCTTAGCAAAGGCTTACCGGTAAGTGTACATGTAATTGACATTGTGTTTTGTTCCAACATGGGAGGCAAACAATGTAAGGAGGCAGTCCCATTGTTAGATTGTTAACAGTTAATCAAGGTTATCATAACGAAATTATACTTCATAATATACCTACGTTATATAAAATAAGATTTATAATGCATAAGCATTAGATTAATAGAGGAAATGTTAGTAGAAATATGAATAGATAATAGATTAAAATATTAGTAATCGGAAATGATTTCACACTGGTTGAAAGTGGTACACAGAACGCAGTTATATAAAATGGAATAACAGAAAATGAGACACATTTAGAAAACGAGTGTATAGAAAACGTGGACATAAACAACAACTCTGGCTGCAGAAAGGTTTTGTGGACTTCGTCTCCTCGCAGTGCTATGCGCCGCGTTTTTTTTCCTTTTATCGGTAAATATAATGCCAATGCATCTTAAACTAGAATCTATCCCCATCTATTTTTTCTGCTCTATAAGATGGCGGTGTCTATTTCCCTCTATCTACGCGCGTCTCTACAAGTAACTTATACCCTTTCTACTGTTTGGCTTTGTGAAACTGAAGCAATACAGTAATGTTGGTTCTTGAGATTATTTTTACTAATTTTCTAGGTCATTCCTAAACTCTTGAGAGCAGTGTTTATTATTACACATATAGGGTACACCTACCACAGACTGTATAGTTTTCTCTGTGTTCCCCACGCAAAAATTATTTGGTCAAATTCTGTCCGTGCAAATGTAGTTCTCAGGTAACTTTCTGTGTACGCTTAGTTCTCTTTTAAATCATCTTCTGCGCATAAATTTCTTTTAACCTCTCTGCGCATTTGTTTCATCATCTGTCTGCAGATCCGTCTGCGCAAAGGCAGACAAAATTGTTTTCCACGCATGAAAAAATGTATATTCCCCACGCAAGAAAAATGCTGTACAGTCTGGTACCTACCGGGTACACCTACCTCATTTATGCTTATATTGCATCATAGTAAGAATTTTTACTCTATAAGTATTTGAGAGTAATTTTTTTATATAGTACTGATGCACTTGCCAAAGAGTAAGTCCCAAACTTCACTTCAGATAATTATTCACTAATCTAAGGTCCTGTGACTTGGCTAGTTGTTTCAGGCACTCTCTGAGGGGAGGGTTGATATGGGGTTCTGCCGCAGCACCCCCCAGGCACACATTGTTTTCACATTGGTTAAGGTATACAAAAGAACCGTTCAGACAAAGAGAAAATTGAAGATCATAATATTAAAGGCAATGAAAAACTATGTTCATTGCTATCAAAATTAACCTGCAGAATCCAACCTGTTTGAGTTAAATACCAAAAATGTGGTGTGCTTAATACCGCGTGGAGCCTAAGACCCCATGCACCTCCAGTGACTAAGTCCAGCTCTCCTTGCTTCACTTGCTCTCCTGGCATATTTGACAGTTTTATTGTCACAGTTCTCGTTGCTCATTCCAAAGATGAATTTTGTTTACAGTGTTACTTGTGTTTCTGAATTCTTTTCCAACTTCGATCTCTAATTGATATCACTACAATATCGGGGATAAACTCCCTGAAATACAGTAACCATGTTTCACCAGTAGAATTTTGTTTGTGGTTACTTTCCAGCCACTGTCACCTCAACCTTAAGGTAAACTCAACTTGTATCATTAAGTCTGCAGTCGATGGTGGTTGAGAGGGGGTTTTGGGGCAGAGCTCCTGATAGGTGAATACAAGAATAGAGAGGGGGTCCAGGATGGTAACCCCTGGGGCAGGAAGGTTTTTCGTTCATATGTTGATCTTTCTGATAGTTTGTGCGTTTAAGAGGCAGTTCACTCACTCATTCATTTGAGCAGTGCCGTGTCGAATTAGCCGTGGCTGAATCTTGTCTCGAGTTTTTTAATGTTCCATTTTTTTTTTATCTTACGAAATAATATTTTTGCCTCAGGTTTTCAATTTTCCACATCCATTTTCTTTAAAAATGCCTATTATGAACAAAGTCACTCCCACCCCCATCACCCTATTTTCCACAGGATCCACCAACATTGTTGGCTGGAGTCGGGGACTTGGGATCGAGCTGAAACTCTGGCTGTGAATGGCTCTTTCCATTAACTTTTTTCTTTATTGTCGTATTACTGTTTGGATCAAATAGCATCAGTAAGATATATTAGCTCCAAATATGTATAGAGATGAAAATTCTTAGATTGATTTATTCTATCAATATGCTGCATAATAATTGAGGTAAATGTTGCTGGTGTAATAATGAAAATTGATAAATAAATGTTTAGCATACTGTAGGCATAAATGGTATGACATAATACTGTGTGATACAGATATGATCAAAATAACATTAATTCTATGTCACAGTCCTACAGAGTAAATTTTGTGCTCAAAAGTTTTAAAATTAGGGTTGAATAAAATAATTTCCTTAAAGGTAAAAGGTACCGAGATACCCACAAAGTCTCAAGTAGCTACATATTATCTGCTTGGAATGGTTCTTCATTTGAAGATGAATAACTAGGGAACTCTACAAGCTCCATCCTACCACATTACCCCCCCCCCCCCCCAATCCCTTGCCCGTTGTTGTCGTAGGGTGGCTTAGGAGACAGAAACTGAGGCCCAAAGCAAGGGTTCTCCCCTGCCGTGGATCTCAGCCCTTACCTCAACTAATTTTGCACAGTCTTTGTTTCTTCCTCTTTCTTTCTCATATCTTCTCCAACCTTTCCCTGTCCAATCCCATTCCTATGGTTTAAGAGCCGTGTTCAAAGGATGACAGGCTGACCTTGTGCCAGTCAAGAACGGCCTCAGGGAGCCATGGGCATGGTATCCCTCGGTGAATCTTACAATGGCCAGTAATGGAGATTTTGTACCCTTATTAGGGACATTGAGGTGTGCTCTTTTATCAACTAACCTCTCTGAATCTAACTCCTTTACCGACCCCTTTCCCTCTGACCACAGCTCCAACCACTGTTAGTACAACTCCCTCCTCTACATATGCTGCCAACTTGACCCATCCTGTATCATCTACCCAGGTTATAACTCAACCCTTAAAAAAATTCTCATCCTCATTCCCAATATCTTCCAGCCCAGCTCCTGAACAAATATCTTAATGTTCTACCTCCTCTCTTATTACAACTCTTCAACCGTATTGCCCACACTTCCACAATGCTACTTCACTTCACACCACTCCCTTGTCCTCCTGTCCTCATCCCTCCACAATTCCCACTTCAAATCTTTTGAGTAATCTCTTTAGACCAGCTAAGTGGGACCCATTTTTTTGTAGTTGCCTCAACAGCCCCTTACTCTAATAATACCCTACTCTTTCAACAATACCTCAAAAAGCAAGAAGGCAAAGTTTCCTTCTGCAGTCATCCTGATTGCTCATATTTAGATACAGTTACATCTAAGACTCAAGCCCAAGCACTATTTACCCTGGTAGACCTCACTGGCAAACCTGTTCCTGTCCAACCTCACTCCTCCCTTAATACATGGACTGGAACTGTTTCCATCTCCCCAACGGATTGTCCTGTCTACAAAAAATATTGGTCAGACTGTGAAGACAACCTTCTTGTCTTCCTCAATGACTATGATGCTGTATCAGTATAGTGCTACACTATTCCCTCCAAAGGCAGCTGTAAGTCCAGCATCAATATTGCCAAGATTACCTTTCATAGACACTGATACTCTGATACCTCCAATACTTTACTTCAGTCCACTCCTATTCACTCTACCCAAGTAGTCTTTACATCTTCAGCACCACTTTCCCCTGCTCCTCAACATCCCACTGCTACTTCCCCTATCTCCTTTCCTTTCCTTCCCTACTATCCCTCACACTCCCTCCTGAATACACTCGTGAATCCCTTCTATCACAATGTCCTTCCCTGGATCCCACCTTTCTTGATGAACCACCAGATACTATACCTTAACCTCCTTCCCCATATGCCACCTCCCATGATAAACCTCCTGATATTACACTGTCACCTCCTTCCTCAGATCCCCTACCCCAATCCTAGACACTCCTCTTACCTCTCAGACATCCATTTCGACCCATATTTCCTGTTGAATGATCTAGGTTTTTGTTCTCACAGACCTGACCTCCGTCATCTCCTATCCTCTTATGACCCATCTATCATCTGCCTCCAAGAAACCATACACATCTTCCAGTACCCCTTCCCGATTACCATTTTGTGTCATTTCCCCATTCTCTATTTGCTTCCTTCATACTTATCCATTATAAAGCACCATGTGTCATACCTCCTTTACAGACCACTATACCTTGCACAGTTAGCCACATTTTATTTTGCCGCTGGATCACAGTTGTTTCAGTCTATTTCTCTCCGTCCCTCCAAATTGACTGTTTAGAATTTGAGACCTTGCTTTCCCAACTCAAACCACCTTTCCTAATAGTTGGAGACTAACTGTTGCCAGACCCTCTGAGGTCACTCTACTGTAAATGCCAGGGGTTGCTCCTTAGAACAATTTCTCTCCAAAACTGACCTTCTCCTGCTAATTTCCATTGTTCCACTCACTTCAACATGTATACCCAATCTTTTTCATACCTTGATCTTTCTCTTTGCTCTCCTACCCATCATATAAACTTCCATTGGTCAGTCCTAGACAATTTTCACACTAGTGATCACTTGCCTACTCTTCTTTCTTTAACATCCTTTATCCCATTTCCCAACCCCCTAGTTGGTGCTTTGATAGAGGAGACTGGAATACCTTTACACCTCTCTCTACTTTTGACCTTCCTCCATCATCCTTCTCTCCCACTTCAGAAATGCTTCAATACTTCACAGCTAATATCCTAAATGCAGCCTATACAACCATCATGTCACACTCCTCTAACACTTCCCTACATGCAATGTCCCTCTTTCTGTTCCACATATCTTTTTATTCTGCCCCCTCTTTACCAAAACCCGTGTCTTTACTTTCCCTTGCATATTCTTTCTTCCCCGACCCCAACCTATCGAACGTCGTCACAGAATCCCCCACCTTTTCTATTGATAACCTGTTATCCTTCATTTGAACTAACCACCCTTTGTCCTTAACCCTTCCACTATTTATCAATTCCTACCCTACACTATATTACCCCCTCTTTCTACTCCTTTCACAACCATACTATCTTATAAAATATAACTGTTGAAATCAAGACATTTGGTTCTAATAAAGAACATTAAAAACCCCTCGCACCACAGTACAGTACCATAGTGCTATATGACCTTTGATGTCTAGCACATTTATTTATTTTCATTATTACTTATTTACTTATTTACCACATTACTCATAATGAAGTTGGTCTTTGTTGGAGTGCTTAAAGATGTATTGGCCTTATCAATAAGCCTCATTTTCATTGTCAAAAAGCTGTCAGGCACTTTTAGGTGTTGCTGGTCATCACCTACAACACTTTCAAACCTTTCTTGTAACAGCAGCACTGCCAGTGTTACCCTTATTTGTAAGAATTGCTCTCAAGTTGGTGAATCTCATTTTATTGTCAAACTATTTTGCATGATTAATTTATACATGTTTGCACTTAGCAACTTCCATCCTACTTTTTCCCTTGTCTGTCAACTCCATCTTGGAATGTCTAACTTCTTAAATTGTTTTGAAAATATCCATCTTAATAAATCATTGATAATTACAACTGAAATGATATAGGAGTTTACACTTTCATATAAGGCATTCATGCAGAATAATAAGAGTAGCAATGTATGACTTAACTTGAATTATGCAATAATTATTAGAGCATATGAACATATTTAGTAAACAACATGAATCTGTATAGATATTACCCTTTTTCAAATATGTCAAAATACACTAGGTGGCATTCAGATGCTCAAAGTTGAAGCAAAAAAAATCTTTTTAAGATCTTTGAATATAGTCAGCTTCTAATTCCAACCACAAAAAATATGACTTTGTATTGGACTAATATGCATATTTTCACCTTGCCAATATTATTAATGGATATGTATTTTAACATATTCCCAAATGATATAGCCAAGATGATACTAACCATACTGATACTATCTACACGTTTATAAATTTAAGGTAGTCATTATAAGTGAAATGTTCTGTGGTTCCTTTATTTTTATTTTCTGTCTTTGTGGCAAGATGCAAGTCAAAGCCAAACCATTTATACAGCGCTTAATAATGTGATTCATGTTATATATCTCATGTATAGGAACTTTACCCAATGCTGCCAGGTAAAAAAGTTTGGCAAGTGGATGTAATTACAGGATTGTTGGCATGCATCAGCAGTTTCCCCTGTTTGTGCCCAGCTTGTTCGGTAGTTGGCAAGCAACATTTGGAATCTAAAAGCTTTTATTTTGCTATGATTTATAAAAATAATATAATTTTGAAGCTTTGCCTTTATTGTAGCTACTATTACCTAAAATCTTTACCATATAAATAAAGCTGCTACTATCAGAGAAAAACAAACTCTGTCCGACGAGCCAATGGCACGGGAATGGTCATGGTACAATGCCAACCGTTTTTTTGTTCCACAACAGCCACGGCATGTACATACATGCCACTCAGCAGCTAGTGGTTATTATTGCTAGGGCAATGTCGAAGTGATTTTATGGAAATTGCAGAATATAGAGAGGATTTTTGTAGTATTTAAATGAATCTGAATCCTCTCAATGTTTTAAATGTCGAATCAGTTAAAGTGTCAGCTTTGTCCTTTTTTAGATTTTTTGTGTAATATTATCAGTACAGATTATAAACAATAGAAAACAGTGAGCTCTTATAAATGGCATCATATTAATTATTTATATTGTATTATCAAAATAACTAATAATGTTTAAATTCCAGCATTATTTTACAGATCTTTCATTGCTACTTTTATTTAAGTACATACCATAACAAAAAGCAATTCAAGGAAAAAAGATGAATAACTCTGATAATAATTTTTATGCATCTGTTTCAGGTGGAGGAGACAGCAGATGTCAAAGTCCCTGTTCTGGGAGGTTTGACTGTTGTAAGTGATGAAACCACAAAAGATGACTACAACACATACAAGCGACTCCTTCAGAATTTGGAGTACTTGCGCGTTCAGGAAGATTACATTAAAGATGAACTTCATAACTTGAAGAAGGAGTACAGACATGCTCAGGAAGAGGTAAATTAGATTCTAAATATGTTGCACCAGCGTGAAGTGCATTTCATCTTCATACAAAACCCGGTATCATTGCCATTGTTTTTATACCAGTGCAGCCCTAAACATTTACTCCACAAGTTGCATCAAAAGTTCAGAAGGCATAGAGGTATATAGATCATTCCATTATAAAAGGAAAAGTATTCTTGATTTTTTTTTTTTTACATATTAATAGTTAGAGAAAACTTATAAGTATTACTATTTTTGTTAAATGTTACTATTTTAAAGTTCCTGCTGTATAAGTATAAAATAGTTTGTTACATTTAAGGTGCTTGTCAATATGTGCTCTCTGAGGGAAGATATTAATTTTTTTTGCCCCCCCTTTCAGGTTAAGCGGATTCAGAGTGTTCCCTTGGTCATTGGCCAGTTCCTAGAAGCAGTTGACCAGAATACTGGAATTGTAGGATCAACAACAGGATCAAACTACTATGTCCGCATTCTGTCCACCATAGATCGCGAACTGCTTAAACCCTCTGCCTCTGTGGCTCTTCACAAGCACAGCAATGCCCTTGTGGATGTACTTCCCCCTGAAGCTGATTCCTCAATTTCCATGTTGCAAGCGGATGAAAAGCCAGATGTCTCATACTCCGACATTGGAGGCTTAGACATGCAGAAGCAGGAGATCAGGGAGGCTGTCGAATTGCCTCTGACTCACTTTGATTTGTACAAGCAGATTGGTATTGACCCACCCAGAGGTGTGCTTATGTTTGGACCACCAGGATGTGGTAAAACCATGCTTGCAAAGGCTGTGGCACATCACACAACAGCTTCTTTCATCCGCGTTGTGGGCTCAGAGTTTGTACAGAAATACCTAGGTGAAGGGCCCCGCATGGTGAGAGATGTTTTCCGATTAGCCAGAGAAAATGCTCCAGCTATTATTTTCATTGATGAAATTGATGCTATCGCAACCAAGCGATTTGATGCACAGACTGGTGCTGATCGTGAGGTTCAGCGTATTCTTCTGGAGCTGCTCAATCAGATGGATGGCTTTGACCAGACTACAAATGTTAAAGTAAGTTTTATTGGTGATGTATCAGTATGCTTGTCTTTAGATTTCATTAGAATTCAAGTGCTCTTTGCCATATTTTTTTAACTTCCTTGATTATGTAGCATGAGTATGATCAATAAAGTAATACACAGAGACTAGGGTAATTAAATCTTGAAAAGTGGAAACCATCTCCATGTTTGGGTACAATAGACCATCTTTTTTCAAAGACTGTTCATTCATGTTAATTCAAAATGCTCATTGGAAAATAAAGAGTGGAATTTGTCTTTCTGATTCTCTGTCACTTGTTATGGACAGTTTTTTAATATTTGTTTCCATTGGACAGGTTATTATGGCCACTAACCGTGCAGACACCCTTGATCCTGCCCTCCTCCGCCCTGGACGTCTTGACAGAAAGATTGAGTTCCCATTGCCTGACCGTAGACAGAAGCGACTCATCTTCTCCACCATTACTGGTCGCATGAATTTAAGCGAGGATGTGGATCTTGAAGATTACGTTGCTCGTCCTGATCGTATCTCTGGTGCCGATATCAATGCTATTTGCCAAGAGGCTGGTATGCATGCTGTACGAGAGAACAGATACATAGTCTTGGCTAAGGACTTTGAAAAGGCTTATAAGAACAATGTTAAAAAGGACGAGTCAGACCATGAATTCTATAAATAAGTTAGGTATTACAGCATTTAACAGATGACAATACTAATATCTTAAAGCACATTAGATTTTCTATTATTTTTTTCTTCTTTCAGATATCTTTTTATTTTTATTATTATTATTTTTTTATCCTCTCAAAAGTCAAGTACCTGGTGTTGTCATTATTATTATTATTATTATATGGTCCAGTAGTAGGATTTAGTCTACCGAGTTTCTTTAAAAGTTTTATAATGTTTCATTTGGATGTTTTGTGGTCTTAGGCAGTGCATGACTTAAAACCTCTCCTTTTTATTAAGAATGAAAGGAAAATGATAACAAGGCTTCTAATAACAGTGAAAATGTGTATTTTTTTACCTTTATTGTAACATATTGAATCAAACTGACATGGTAATGTGTATAGTAAATGTGATATTCAGGATATTCAGAACTTCGGGAGGAAGATCATATGAAATTGAATTTACTTGTCATCTAATGCATCAACAAGGTAAACCTCTGTTCAGCATTTATGATATAAGAACACTTACTATTTCCCAGATATTATTTACTACCATACAGCAATCTGGAAGTTTCCAATTATTCCTCTTATGTATCTCTGTATCTCTGTGAACAATGAGATCAAAGTTCTTTAAGTCCATGCTGGCTCGGAAACCCACAATTTTCGAAATAAGTACTTTCCCTTGGTCAAGGCAATTTTTCACAGTTGATCACTGCACTGGCCAGTGCCCTGGGGACCCAATAATCCAGACTCTACTCTTCCCCAAAATCTCAAAAACGGGGTGCAGGATTGTCCCCATGCCAAAACCAATATCTCTCCAGAATGTCAACAAGCTCCAATCCACTCGCAAATAACAGACCACTACCCCAAACATACGTAAAACAACCTACAAGAATATGGATACCAATCAGTGGGCTTTTACACAAACAGTTATTACCATAAATATTGACACATCAAAAAAAGGCATTTTCTTCAGAAAAATCAGATATGATTATTAGATTTCTTGTCATAAAGGTAATTTTTTTACATAAATATAACTTTAGGAAAATCAATTGATTTTCTTTTCAAAGTATAACATGACGTAAATATTTTTTTGTATATTATACAGTGTGCAGTATTTCTTCAAAAGATTTATTGTAATTATTGAATATATTTGCACAATTCAATCCATACTATTTTTGCACGGTCTTTTCTTCCCTCCTCCCAATGCCTTGCTCGTTGTTGTCATGGGTGGGGATTAGGAGACAGAGACTGGAGCCCAATGTAAGGATTGCCCCTACCTTGGACCAGCCCTCGCCCCAGCTAATATTGCATAGTCTTTTCTTCTCCATTCCTCTTCCATATCTTCTTCATCCTCCTCTTCTGTCCCATTCCTAAGGTGTGAGAGCCGAGCTGAAAGGATGAAAGGCTGGCTTTGTGTCATTTCTGAATGGCCTTGGGCAAGGTATTCCCTTGGTTAATTGCCTAGCCCTTACCCCTTAGGGGGACCCTGAGGTGTAGACCGTTTCTTTTCCTTTTCTATTCAGGCTCACCTTGGCCAATAATGAAGATTCATTATCCTTATAATAGGGGCATTAAGGCCTCTATCAACTAGCCAGTCTGATTCCGATTTTGATGGTTTTCCGACCACCTCCTCTTTTGACCATGGCTGTGACCCCTGATACTAATACCATCTTGTCAGCGTTTACTGACAACTCTATCCATTCTGAACCATCCACCCAAGTTATTACTCAACCCCTATAGAATGCACCTCTTCATCTCTCCCAACATTTTCCTCTTCATCTCTTGCTGTACAGTCTTCAGTGTTGACCACCTCTTCCCTTATTACTACTCATCCTTATTTGTCGCCACCCCCAAACAGAACTACTCCACTCAATACCACCCCATCTTCCTCCTGCCTTCATCATTTTACTGCCTCTACCTCTGCAAACTCTCTTTGGCCCAGCCAAGTGGGATCGATTCTCTGTGATTCCCCCCCACAGCCACCTACTCTGAGAATACCTTTCAATGGTGCCTTCACAAACAAATAGGCAAAGTTACCTTATGCAGTCGCTCCGGACAGTCACGCCTCACCTCTCCCACCTGGATACGCGTGTAGATAGCTTCTGTCGCAGCAGTACTCTCCTGCGGATTCCTCCCCTCCTGACGTTCTTCCTGATACTTCACCTCCTTCCCCAGTCCCCGTATCTCATCCCCTAGATTCTTCTGCTACTTCTCCAACAGGCATCTCTACCTGTATCACCCGTTGATTATTTCATAACAGCTCTGTTCCTAGTTTTCCTTAAAGCAATGTTACTATAGCTTCTCCAACAACAGGTACACCCCCTTCCAACCAAGCGCCCTATACCCTTAACCCTTTCCCTTATCCGATATCATTTGCACCCCTTCTTTACCCTTTTCCCTATCCTATAATACTATATCCGTTGACATTTAACACTCCTTATACAAATCTTTTAACTCATTTACCCTTTTCCGAAAAAATACTTTACCATAGTGCTATATAACCTTAGATTTCCAGCACATCTATTTGTTTCAACCATTAACATTAAATTTCTCTTCTTCTCTCCAACCCCATCTGCTATCCACTCCCCAAGATGTGAGAGCCTTGTTGAAAGGATGAAAGGCTGACTTTGTGCCTCTCGTGAACGACATAGGGAAGCCGTGGGCACAGTATCTCCCTGTTTAGTTGTCTAGCCCTAATCCCTCAATGAGACCCACAACATACTCCAGGCTCTCCATGGGCAGTAATGAAGTTTTTATGAGGGACACTGAGAATTTATCTTTATCAGCTAGCCCCACTGGCTTGACTTTCCTCTGTTCCCTGACCCCAGACTCTCCTTTGACCACGACTCAACGGTACTACCACTCCCCCCTCAATCCCTACTACTTTACTCAACTCACACCATTCCACAAGGTCCCGTCCGTCAACTACCTTCACATTGGCAAATCTTCTGAGTACTCCTTTTATCCCAACCAAACGGGATCATTTTTTTTGTGACCCCCCCCCCTACAGCCCCTTTCTCTGATAACACGCTCCTCTTCTAACAATGCCTCCAAAAACAAAAGGGCAAAGTTTCCTTCCGCAGCCGACTTGATTGATCCCGCCTTGTCACAGATATTTCCGAATCCCAAGCTAAAGTACTATTGCCAGTGAATATCTGTATGATCTTTTCTTTTCCCCCCTTTCATTTTCATATTCTTCACCCCCTTCCGTTCATATCCTAGTATGAGAGCCGGGCTGAAAGGATGTATCGCTGGCTTTGTGTCAATCCCTGAACGGAAGATTTTTTTTCAATAAACAAATTAATAACCCTCTTTTGAAAAATACATTAATTTGAAAACATTGAAGCACATTTTTCATATTCATAATGTATTGTCAAGACATTTTCCGAAGGATACTTGTATACCAACAACTTAATAATGAGTATTTTTATTATTATACAACTTACACATATAACACGTCTTTGAGACTGGAATGAGAGAAAATATGAGGGTGAAATGCATGTCAAAGTTATTGAGATTATTCAGCAAAATGCCAACAACCTTTGTTGACAAAGGGTCAGATCACACACACACACACACACACACACACACACACACACACACACACACACACACACACACACACACACACACACACACACACACACACACACACACACACACACACACGCACAGAGAGAGACAGAGACATCTAAGACTTCACTTTATTTGAAAACATTGTTTGTGAATTAGCATATACTATGAATCCCTGTAAATATCTTCCATAGTTCTTTTGTAACTCGCAAGGTAACAGAGCGGAACACCTTAAACCTTTTTTAAGGAATTAATTTCCTCGGAAAACGGTTCTTCATCAGTGTTTCTGCGCAGTTTTGGAACACACGTATCACTTTATAGCATCTTTGCATCACCAGGAGTACACAACTCAAACACCATTTTCCTTCTCGAAAGTTTGTCTGCTGAAGAACAAGCATTTTTAGGCTCAAAATGCTCCCACAGATCACACACACAATCGCCAAATCCGATAAAATCGTTTTTGGGTCTAGCCGTTTGCCTCTTCACTCCACGTCGTAGCTGGCTCCGAACCTGCCGTGGGCCCCTGGGACGCCCGACACTGAGGTCTTGTAGCAGCCGAGGTAGGCTATGATGTAGAGGGCGATGTAGAGGGGCGGCACCATCCCTAGCATGAAGGAGGCGAGGCGTGGGTTTTCCACTGGGGTCACGTACGCCTCCTTGTGTATTTTCCTCAGTTGCTCTGCATTCAGCTGCCCTGTTGGTTGATTAATATAAATTTATTGATATGTTATGCAACGAGGGAAGTGTTGTTTATGTTTTTTTTATTACAGATGTTTGTTTTAATCAAAGCGCTCCCCCCAACAATTTATTGCCCGTTTACTCCTCTAGGGAATTCAAAGGAACCCTGAGGTGTGGAATATTTCTCTCCCCAACATACTCTAGGTTTACCATTGCCAGTAGTGAAGAATTTGTACCGTTATTAGAGGTATTAAGGCTTGCCCCTGTTTCAACTAGCCCCACTGAACTCAATTCTCCTGGTTCCCCGACCCCAGGCTCTTCTTTGACCACATCTCTGAACGCTGCTACTACCCCCTCAAAGCCCATTATCACATCAGTCCTGTCCAAATCAGCCGTCCAGGTCAAGACAATCTTCCCATCGTTTTACTTCAATTCTTCCAGCGCCATAGTTTTTTCATTAACTCCCCCATCCTCAATACTACTCTGCAGCCTTATGTCCACCTCTCCGGAGTGCTGCCTTTCTCAACACTACTCCCTCTTCCACACATCCCTGTCCTTCAACTACCCCCGCCTCTACAAACTCCTTGAATACTCTGTTTAGATAAGATAAGTGGGATCGATTTTTCACAATCCCCCCATAGCCCTTTCTGACACACTTTCCTCTTCCAGCAATGCCTCCAAAAACAAAAAGGCAAAATTTCCTACCTCGGATCGTTCCTATCCTGTCAGTTTACATTCGGATCCTAAGCTATGTCGTTATCAACCCTGACTTTGCTGGCAAACCAATTCCAGGCCAACCCCCTAAGTCCCTCAATACTTGCACCGGAGCTGTCTCCATCTCCCTGACATATGCCCTGTCTACGATAAGGATGGGGCAGATTGCAGAGAAGACTTACTCGCCTGCATTTTGGACTATGATGCAGTATCAGTACAGTGCTGCACCATCCCCCCTCGAGCTCGTCGTAAGTCACCCACCAACATTGCCAAAATTACTCTCCGTAGACATGACATACCACATCAACCTCTACCCCGTCAGTGTCAAAATTGTTGGCGTCAAGGCCATTCTCCCAGACACTGCCGTTCCACAGCCCTATGCCCTTCTTGTGCCCGACCTGGTCATAATTATATAACCGTTAAAACTCCTCTGCACGCACACGCACGTACCATAGTCATATATGACTTTTGATGTCCAGCTCATTTATTTTGCTTTGTAACCATAAACCATTCAACAAAGCGCCGTGTCCATATGTTGAAAGTAATTGCAACTGATACCCCCATGCGAATAAAACTAGAGGAATCGATTAAGAAATATCAGTATGACTGAATATTAAAAAAAACAAACTTATAACCAGTTAGACTGCCCCGCGTATAATATCAGAAACCAAACAAGTATGAAAGAAGTAAATAATTCCGAAAACCAAAGCCAACTGACCAGTGCCATCGTGCAGCATTATGAACCCTCGAGTTGTCCCCTGCATGTTGACGGCGCGACAGTGGTAGTAGCCATAGTCCGAAGTATTCACGTTGTGGATTTGAGCCACAGAGAGCAGGAAGCCCGGAGACAAGACGGTGGTCGTTATGGTGACATTCCTTTGGAGGAGGAAAGAAGGGTTTATTTAAAAAGACTGAGGTGGAGGTATATGTGTAAGGTGACTAGATGTGGAAAGGATGGTGACCTTACGTGTGGAAAGACCGCTATACGCAAGATGACTGATGTGAAAAGAAAGTTTGTGTAAAGTGGCTGTGGATGTGAAAGGAAAGCTGTACTGTAAGGTGACTGTAGATGTAGAAAGGAAGCTGTAAATAATGTCAGAGTGAATATTCAAACACTTTAAGTGGGTTGTTAACAGAGACAGTGCTTTGTCACGAATGGCGGGGGTAAGTGTGACAGACTGCTCTTGGTCAGCCTATTCTTTATTATTTCACCAAAATTTCTAAAGTATCTCATTACGGAATACGCTTAGGAATTACATTGTCTTGTTATTCCATACACAGCATCGTCAGTATGGTACATATTCGTCAAACACAACACACATGTTAAAGTTCACGTAGCACTGTTTCTACCTGTTGCAGCCGTTAGAGTGATCGGTGTTGTTTGTTGAGGGTACCAGCTGATGGTGCGGACGCGGGCGCCTTCTGACTAGACATCCAAGTTCCACCTCGCCCACACCTGTATCTCTATGTCCCATTACCACGACGGGCGCATCTGAAAATTAGCAAAACAGTTTCAGGAAATGAAGCAAATAAAGCCCTATCATACTAAGACTTTTCCGTTTATTTTTTGCAGAAAACTATTTCCCAGTGTTAAAAACAATCATTGGCCAATCGCGTGTGGTTCTGGGAATCACACGAGCATTCTCATACAT